GAAATGGCAGAAGTTGCGTGCAGCTTTCCGGTCACACTTTATCGGTGCCCAAATCTGTCTTATTCCGAAAGAATCGATTACCAACATTGTGCAAAAGGACGACAAGACTGTTAAAGACTACGTGGCTCGGTTCAACGACCGAATTCAGAACATGGAACCCTGTCATCCTAAAACTTTGTTAGTAACAGCTATTGCCGGACTGAAGCCCAATTCAATGTTTCGTTGGACCTTGTGTCAAAACAAGCCTGCTACATTTCAAGAGTTTCTTGTGCGAGCTCAACAGTTCATTATTGCTGAAGAATCCATGTCGGTTCCTAGTTTCGACTTCTCGGTGAAAGAAAGCAAGGCTGAACCGGATACTAAGATGAAGAACAAGAAGAACTTTGGGAAAGCACAATTTCGGAACTCCTCTAAAGGATATGAAAATACTCCAGAGTCTCGGGCTGCTCGTGATCAGTATTCAGACAATGTCAGGACAGGTTATCATGCCGTTTATTCCGCCGGAGCAGCCACCATATATGAAGAACTGAAAGGGAAGGGAATTATACCAAACCCGAGGCCTGTGAGAACTCCCGAAGACAAGTTGTATAAAACTCGGTACTGTGCGTACCATAAGTCTCCAGGACACAATACCGATGAGTGTCTCGGTCTTTTGTCGGCACTCTTACGTTTAATCGGGCAACCCCAGCTTCAAAAGTTTCGAAATTTTGATAACCGCCGGAAAGGAAGGCCCTTGGATCTTTCAGACGACGAAGATGAGGACAACCGACCTGCTAACCAGAAAAGAGCTCATGCAAACGATAAGGAAGTTTTTATGTTTTCTACTCATGTCGGAACTTCGGCCGACAACCACAGGAAACCTAAGATATATGATCCCGCAGATTTTTTACATTGCATACCTCGAGTCAACTCCAATAACAAACAGTTAGATACGTCTCGACGGAAAGTCAAAGCTTATGCTCGGGAAGCACAGAATGCCGAGAAACGAGTCATGAATGTTGATCTTCGAAATACCATCAACAAATGGAATTGCCCTATCACGTTCAGTATTGAAGACGCTAATTTATTCGCTCATCCTCATTCCGATGCTCTTATCATAACCGCCCCGATTGGGGGGATTCCTGTTCATCGGATCTTGGTCGACACAGGAGCTTATTCAAGCATTTTAATGCTCCGCACCTTCAAGAAATTGGGTTTGGACCCAACAGACATTAGACCGTGTAACGATCAGATTCAAGGTTTCAATGGAAGCATTTCTTGCCCTGTTGGCGAAATATTGCTCCCTATTCGGTTTGGTGGCTTTGGGCCGAAATCCAAGATCATTATGGAAACTTTCAAAGTCTTGGATGTCCAAAACGAATATAATGCTGTAATAGGACGAACCGCACTTTATAAACTTCGTGCTGCTGTGTCAATTTTTCAAAGTTCCCCACCATTGAAGGAGAAGGCACTCATTACGGAGATCAACGAGAAGCCCGAAGTCTGATGTTGCTCTCAACCTCGCCTAACTTTCATATGATTGAAGAACGGGATTCTAATAACTTCGTTGAGCCGAGTGATTCAATTCTTGATACTGAAAGAACTGATCAGTTCATCCCGGATACCGACATGCCTCAAACAGATACCGACTTGCCGCTTGTTGATACCGACGTCCCTATGACGTTGGTTTTACTTGAAACATCAACTAAAATCCTCGATCAAGAACAAACTTTTCATGAAAGAAACATAGAAATGCATGAAGATATGGACCCAAGGATGCAGTTCAAAGATGGAAGTCATCACGTCCGGGCGGAACCCGTTGAAGATATCGAAATCATTTACGTGGACAGGTCGGCTCAACAGAAATCGCTGCGTATTGGGGCCAACCTGCAAGAACCCATTCGGTCAAGTTTGATTCAGTTTCTCCAGTCAAACACTGATGTGTTCGCTTGGAAGCATGAAGACATGAAAGGGATCGACCCACAGAAAGCATGCCATCGTCTCAATTTGGACAAAACTGTCAAACCCGTTATTCAGAAACGTCGGAAATTCGGCCCAGACCGCCAGAAGGCCCTTGAAGAAGAAGTAAACAAGCTCATAGATAATAAATTTGTCAAAGAAGCCAAGTACCCGACGTGGATATCGAATCCTGTTTTGGTTAAGAAAGCCACCGGCTTTTGGCGTCTCTGTATAGATTTTTCAGACTTGAATCAAGCGTGCCCGAAAGATAGCTATCCCATTCCGCACATTGATTACATGGTAGATGCTACGTCGGGACACCAACTTATGAGTTTTCTGGATGCCTATTCAGGCTATAATCAGATTCCCATGCATCCTGATGACGCTGAACATACCTCGTTCTATTCAGCTCGAGGCCTTTATTGCTATGTCATGATGACTTTTGGATTGAAGAATGCAGGGGCCACATATCAGAGATTGGTCAATAAGATGTTTGCTCGCTTAATCGGCCATACAATGGAAGTTTATGTAGACGACATGTTAGTGAAGTCGGAACAGGCCTCTGACCATATCGCCCATCTCTCGGAAGTCTTCGATATACTCCGAGAATATTCCATGGTGCTTAACCCCAAGAAGTGTACTTTCGGAGTTGGATGAGGGAAGTTTCTAGGATACATGGTGAGTCAGAGAGGGATCGAAGCCAATCCCGCCAAGATTCAAGCCATACTTGACCTAGCTCCCCCGACATCTCTCAAAGGTGTCCAATCTTTAACTGGTCGACTGGCAGCCCTTAATCGGTTCATTTCAAAGTCTACGGATCATTGCAAGCCATTCTTTGACGCTATCAAAAAGAAGAAACCATTTGAATGGACCACGGAATGCCAGAACGCTTTTGACAACATTAAAGAAGTTCTTTTGCGATTACCAACGTTGCAGAAGCCACTTCCTGATGAGCCTTTGTATTTGTACCTTGGTGTAAGTAACGTTGCCGTTAGTGCTGTTCTCATACGACAAGATGGGCTTCAACAGTTTCTGGTGTATTATGTTAGCAAGGCTTTACATGATGCTGAATTGCGATATCCGCATATGGAGAAGCTGGCCTATGCTCTGATCATCGCTGCGCGGAAGTTGCGCCCATATTTTTTGGAGCATTCAATTGTTGTGTTTACGACATACCCTCTCCGACAAGTCCTTCACCGACCTGACACGTCGGGAAGAATGATTTAATGGGCGATAGAGTTGGGACAGTTTGATATCCAGTATCGGCCGCGAACCGCTATCAAAGCCCAAGTACTGTCTGATTTCATTGCTGAATTTACTCCCACTGTCGACTCATCCATTGAAGATCCGACGTGGACTCTCTACATTGACGGATCGTCCACTGCTATGCGAGCTGGAGGAGGGATCGTCTTGGTTACTCCTGATCAGCAAGTGTTTTGTTACTCTGTGGCATTTACCTTCCCGGCCACTAACAACGAAGCCGAGTACGAGGCCCTCTTATCAGGTTTACACTTTGCCGAATCCATGAATGTTTCCTCTCTCCGGATATTTTCCGACTCTCAGTTACTAGTCAGCCATATCAATGGTACTTATGAAGTCAAAGAACCACGGTTGTTGCCTTATTTTGATCTCGTTAAAAAGAAGCTGGCACGGTTTAAAATGACGTTGGAGCATATACCTCGGTCATCCAATATTCAGGCAGATGCTCTTTCACGATTAGCCTCATCAACCGACTTGAATAATGTTGAGTTCGTGCAAATCACCCAACAGGCGACTTCATCAACAGTCTCTACCGATGTCATCATGGTTGACGCTGCCCCATTAACTTCAGATCCTACATGGATGGATCCGATCATTGATTATCTTCAAACCGGGGCCTTACCTGAAGACCCGAAAGAAGCTCGCGCCCTTCGTATTCGTGCTGCTCATTACACTATTGATCAAGGGACGTTATATAAACGTGGGTATTCTACCCCATTGCTCAAATGTTTGTCAGAGGTTGAGGCTCAACGAATCCTGCAAGAAGTACACGAAGGAGTCTGCGGTACTCACCAGGGAGCTCAAACTTTGTCTCACAAAATCCTCCGACAAGGCTACTACTGGCCTACCATTAGGAAAGATGCTACAGATTGGGTGCGACGGTGCCATAAGTGCCAAATATTCGCTCCCAACGTTAACCAACATCCTGAACTTCTTAAGTCGATATATAGTCCATGGCCGTTTGCAAAATGGGGAATTGATTTGATCGGCCCACTTCCAACAGCAAAAGGGGAAGTTCGGTTTGCTATTTTAGCCGCCGATTATTTCACCAAGTGGGTTGAAGTTGAGCCCCTTGTAACCATCACAGAGCAAAAAATGGTGGATTTTGTATGGAAATCAATCGTTTGTCAGTTTGGAATTCCCAACTCCATTATAACCGACAACGGTCGTCAGTTTGAAGGCAAGCGATTTGAAAGTTTTTGTGAAGATTACGGCATCAAGCATTTCTTCTCGTCACCTTATCACCCACAAGCTAATGGACAGATAGAAGCCGTAAACAAGATTATCAAGAATGGCCTGAAAACTCGACTTGAAGCTGCAAAAGGATCATGGCCCGATGAATTGCCTGCCTTATGTCCTCTGGTCTTATCGGACGACGACGAGAAATTCAACTGGAGAAACTCCGTTTTCGTTAGCTTACGGAACTGAAGTCGTGATACCGGTTGAACTTGCCTCTCCGACATATCGAATCACTCACTTCTCCGAAGAAACCAACCCAGCAAACTTGAAAACCAGTCTCGATTTGGTCGATGAATTACGGGCTGACGCCGAAGTTCGTAATGCCGCTTATAAACGACGAAGTGAAAAATACATAAATTCAAGACTCAAGCCACGCTCATTTATCAAATGAGACCTTGTTTTGAAAAGAGTCACTGGCGCCAATGTCGGCCCGTTACAACCAAAGTGGGAAGGACCCTTTAAAGTAAATCGTCTGATCTCTAATGGCACCTACCGACTTGAGACGTTAGACGGTGTTCCCCTTCAATATCCCTGGCACACGACATATCTGAAGAAATACTACCAGTAAACCTTATGGCCAAGGTTCTGTCCCTGACATGTAAAAAAGCTTTTGTCCTACTTCTGTACAAGAACCATGTTTTGCTATCAATAAAGTTTGTGTGACGAACCCCTGTAATTTGTTCGACCACTCGGACCACAATAAATCGGTCCTCGTTGCTAAGGCTAAACGTGTTTCATACCCTGAAGATGGTATGACCTAGCCAAACGTAGCAAAGTCGGATACTTCCAAGCCCTGAAGATGGTTTGGGGAGGCTTACGCTCTATAATATCAAATCCCGACGTTGATTTGATGAACTCGCAATAAGTATTTTCAGTAAAAAGCAAGTCTTTTATGACTTGTCCGAATAAAGGGTTTGCGGATGTCGGACAAGCTATAAATTATGCCGACACCCAAAAATTTAATCAAAAAATTGATATCAAATCCTGACGTTGATTTGATCAACTAACAATAAAATTCTTAAGTTCTTTGAGACGTTCAAGGACTTACGCGATAAATATTTCCAATAAAAGGCAAGTTTATTGTAACTTGTTCTGATAAGATTATTGATGTCGGAAATACTGTAAGACTACGCCGATGTCAGTAATTCATATAGATTACCACACTAATGTTATGTCAGAAACTTTAATCTGATGAATACTTATTCACTTTTTCCGACATACTCTGACTTGTCACAATGATAAGTCACGGTAAAGCATTCATAAAAATATTTCATTCATCAAACATTAATATTTCATTCCAAAATCAAATATTGTCAATACATCCCCAGAAAAAGACAAACAAACGACAAAACAAATTAAAAACATCAATTTTCTTTGGTCCCTGACGATGACGCCCCTCCTACATTGGAAAATTGAGGATTCTCGGTCTCAGCCTTGTCCTTGTCAACAGCGTCCATATGTTCAATTAACCTTTGGCCTAAGCGCTGAATGACGTCCTCTTCCTTCTCTTCCAATGCTCGGACGACATCGCTTTCTTTAATTATGACGACGTCATCATCTTCATGCAAAACACGATCATCGTCAGAAGGGACTGGGTCAGTTACCCAACCTTTAGCTTTGGCGTCATCTTCCGCCACTTTGCGTGCCGCATAACCGATAACCGCGCCCAAAAGCTCCTCGTCGGACAGACCCTCGAATGTTTCATTGACAAAGGCCTCAGCGATCGTCTCCACACATATGTTAGCCATTTCAGGCTTCTTGGCCTTCTCTACTTCGAGGACCATATCGATAAATGACCGGCAGATCTTTGCCTTGCGCTCCTCCGACAAGGGAATCATATCCAGTTCCAACATCCGACGTTCTTTTTGCTTCAGAAGTCAGTCAGCAAAGTCTCTTTCATCTTGGTCGGCCGGAATGTGGGCATTCTTCATCTCAGGATTGAAACCGTATTTCTCCATCTTGTGAAGAAGGAAAATACGCAGCTCAT